CGGGCGGGCGGGCGGGGGAGGCCGCCCCGCGGTAGCGCCGCCCGGGCCCGGGCCCCTGCCTGCGGGGGTCTGCCTGCCGGGGGAGGGGGAGCAGGCAGGGGGACGGACAGCGAGCCAAGCAAGTTCTGTCAATTAAAAAAGGAAAGGAAAAAAAAAAAGAAGTAGAGGCAGGTTCGTGGGACATCTTGCGAGCTCAGCACCACGCCAGGCAGCCGAGCCCCAGCACGAAGTCCTGCAGGCTTTAGAGTCGCCTTGGCTTTCTGGTTGGAAGATGATTCCTGCGACAGGGCCGTGTTGCTGCTGACGGACCGCTGGGTCGTTGGAAGATGCCTTCCTTGGGGATTACACCTGGAGAAAGGCCATCAGTCAAGGGGAGAGCTGGCTGGTGAAACTGTCTGACTTTCTCCCCCCCACACTGGGGAAGTGGCTTCAATGGCTCCATCTCCCAGGAGAAGCAGTAGGAAAGATGCCAACGCCTTGCCAAGCATGTCCTCAACTTTCTGGGCTATCATGATCCTGGCTAGTCTCCTAATCGCTTACTGCAGTAAGTACATATTTGTCCTGGTGCTTTTGCTGGATGTAAATCCACGCCCTTCCCGTCTGAGGTAACGCTTCTGGCAAAGGCCGAGATCTGAAGCGGGCAGGTGAGGTACTGTGCCTTAGACTTGCCACCTCCTCGCTTACCCCTTGACTCCCCCATGGTAAAGCAGGTAGACCGACACTTAAATACTGCTGCTACTTGGGAGCATGAGGTGTCCATGGGTTGTAGGTATGGCATTTCCAGTCCAAACAGAAGCATCTCTTGGATCTGAGGAACAAACTTTTTAGTGGCAGTAACCGTGATCCACTCTGCACTGTTGATTGTCAGATATTACCAGCTCTCTCCCAGTCTGCTCCCTCCACGTACACGCTCCTACCCCCATCTACCTTCCATGAATAGAAGCTGTTTTGCTTATGTTCATTCCTTTGGGAAGCCCATATTTAGGCAAGTGACAGATGTCTTAACATCACTGGGATCATATGTGATCCTCTGACTGTGAAATTGCATTGGAACACCCTGGCACTTCCTTAGCATATCCTCAGCAGTTTAGTAAGCCCATGATATCAGTTTTAGAGTTGCATCACAGGTTATCAGTAGAGTTTGGGATATTCTTTTTCAGGCTCAATAGATTGTTCACTAATCACACCAAGTTGCAGATAAGATAGCTGTAAGAATCAAGTGCCTGGACTAATAGTACTTTTAAAAGTCTTTATTTTTTCTTGTTATTTTGTTTTTCTCTCAGCAAGAGTCATTTTCAATCAGTTGCATAATATAAATACATTTGATGCCCATACTTCTGTGGAATGCAAGTGAGTCCATGATTCCAGAGTGGGAATCTTTCAAAAATAATAGAAAAAGTAGTTTCTATGCAATAATAAAAAAAAATGTGTAATTTATCAGAAGGGACCTGTACAACTTTGCCAAAATGAATCTACACTGTATTTTCCCAACCTGGGCTGAATGTGGTCTGTAATTTACCCATACTCTGCATTCCTTTCATTAAGCTGTAGCATAAAAGACTTAGCACTAGGCTTATCTTGTTGAGCTGTAATAGGTGTAGGTTATGATGAATAGGAAATGGATTCTGTTTTTCAGGAGTATGCCTGCTGCATTTCTTAACCCTCTATTTCATTCCCTCCATCTGTATTATATGCTCCATTTTTCTGTGTGTTTTTTTTTTTTTTTTTTTTCTGAAACAAGATTGTAATTGGCTAAGAGAACCTTTAATTCATTTTTTTTCATGTTTAGGGACTCTCTGTAGAAAGAGGATTATTCCAAAAAACAGTAACATATTTTGTAATTATTTTTTTGTAATTAAGCACATTTTGCATTACACTTCTCCTAAAAATTCATATCAAAGAGGCCATGCTTTTAAGTAATTTCATTTCTCCATATTGCCATATTCAATGTGCTAATATAGAGGGTATACTAAACAACAAACTTAGATTTTAAATAATTTATGTGCATACTGGGAGATAAATGACTGAGTAAATGCATATTACAGGACGAATTGTTCAAGTGTATAGGGAATTCAGCTGGATATTAGTAATAAGAAATATTTGATTAAGTTTGTGCTAGAAATGTCTGGAGGGTCCCGGGCTTTTTATGAGAATATATGAGTTCTTCTGTGCAGGTATCTTCTATCATTGTAGCCTCAGAAAGAGTTAAATGTAAACTCTGACACCTTAAAAATTATTTATACTCAACAGTGAGAGGTTTGACAATGTTCTGTTTTAAGGAATGAAGTTGTCCATTTGAATTGTTATATATTGTTCATTTATTTTTTGCATTGTTTACTAATGCTCAACAATGCAATTGTTAGCTGATTGTATGAAAGCAATTTCTGATGTGATTAAATGACCAGTTTCTAATTAGTTCTCTCAGGCAGTGTAGATGGTGTTCCTCAAACATGTAGTACGCTCTTCATTCTATATAGTGTTGAAAAGCACCATGCAGCTTAAAATATGCAGTGTCAAAACACTCCACCATTTATGTAATCTTTCACTGATTTGATAACTGCAATTCCAAATGTTAATGAAGCGCCATGAACATCTTTTCTAGCGGTAGTATTTGAAAAATTGCAAAAAATGTTTTTGCTCTCTGGAAAGGGTGAAGATGTTTAAACATCAAGGAAAAAAATGTGAAGCTATTTCTAGGTAAAGTAGTACTGCAAATTTTATGACTTCTTTTAAAAATCATCTAGGTTTTATTCAGTCTTTTTTTTGTCTTATGCCGTATTTTCTGAAGAAAAGCATAAGTGGAGGGGGGAGAGGAGGGTGTCAGTTATGTTTTAGGAATAACAGCCTTGCTGTATTTCTTAGGAAGTAAAAGAAAATAACTTGGCAATGTAAAGTGTTCTGTATTTTTCCACAAACCTTATATTCAGGTATATGGAAATATACCAGCTTAAATCTCTGATATCAAGCAGACTTCTGTAAAAAAACAATACAGGTGAAGTAATTACAGGAACCTTGTATCTGATCATCTCTCACTGTATCATTTTACTACATTTGCATCAAACCCTGATCTCTCACTGCATCATTTTACTACATTTACATCAAACCCTGCAACTCAAAAAGAAAAAAACAAACCCCGAACTTTTACATATTTCCATTTTTTTAGGACTATAAATAAAAGTTTTGATCTACCTTGCTTATTTTCATTTTTAGTCTACTGGTCTGACAAAGCTTATTCCTGAATCAGTCATACGTATCTTTTTTCCCCTTCCCCTAATTACTTTGTGAATCTTTGTTTCTGGGAATGTATTTGTTGTACAATAGTCATCCCTATGCAACCAGTAAACAACATACTCTGAGTTTCACTTAACAGATAAGCGTATTTATAAAGCATGTTCTGGATGTATATGTGCATTCCATTAAACTTTCATTTATACTTTAATTTCTGAAGAACAATTATTTTCTGATTGACATGGTAAAATTATAAACTGATCATTTTTTCTTTCTTAAATGTGTAGATTATACTTAGGGATAGTGGCTCCATCCTATGGTGGAAGAGAAACCTGCATCAAATCAATTAGGTTAGTTGCTATAGTGATAAATATAATGCAATATTCTCCAACTGAAGAAAAATGGTTTGGTAGGTTCTCAACAGGAGAAGGCAAAAATCAAATAGTAGAAATAGGCTATTTACGGTCCTTGGTGTAATCATCAAGGAGTTGGTTTAATTAACAGAACCATAAGTGAAAACTGTCTCAGAAGGCTATCCTGGTAGAAGGTGAACACCTTCAATGGCAGTTCAGAATTAGAGGAGTAGTGACATTTTTGGATCCTGGACCTGTATTCAGCGTACTTTTTTAATGAACAGTGATAGACCAGAGAGAGGTACCTACAGTGAATTCTTTAAGAATTGATTTTGTGTTGTGAAGGTACACTGAATTGGGTTTTTTTTCTCCTTCTGTAACTGGGTTTACATTTTTCCATGTTAAAAAGTTTGGTCAAATTAAACAAATTATCTGTGGTTTCAAAGTTGCGTGCTGCATCAGAAATCTAAAAATAACATGGTTTTGATCCAGAATTACTTCTTAGTGAATTTATTCAGTTGGCTTTGCTGTAAATACTGAGATGCTTATTATATGTAAATGGTGACTTTTTAAACGACGTATGATTCAGCTTTAGCAAATTCTGTGGCTGTTATGAGCTTTTGGCTTTCCTTATTTTTTACTGTTTTGTAAGCATAAAGAATAAAACATTAGACTCCTGTCGTGTTATAGGTTTTCCTGTTCTGCTAAGGTAATACTTATAAAGGCACGCAAATGGGGTTTTTGAAAGGAATTAGCAAAACTGAATGGTACTTGGAAAGTTCACCTTGTTTTAAATACTGTATATGGAAGAGAGCAATTTGAAGCCCAGCATTTATGCTTTCTGAATGGTGATAGTACTAGGAAAAAAGAATGCAAAAGTCCAAAATGCAAAATATTGCCCGTAACTCTGTAGTTCTGCATTGTAAGTACAAGTTCTTTCACAGTAATAAGAAATGGGAAGAGGAAATGTTCTCCAAACTCATTATTTCTTTTGCCTGCAGAATACAAAATAAATACATAGTAATGATGAATTACAGATAGGTTCTATTAAATGACTGATGGAATTTCTTGAGCAGAAGAATCAAGCCCTCAGCATAAATAGCAGAAGTCTCAAAGATTTTGCAGGGTACCATACAAAGTGCAGATAATTCCCATGAAAAATACTGTATCAACCTCACCTTAAATTGTGTTCCTGTTGTTTTAAATTAAGTGGACGTTGCTCCTTTGAGAAACACCTTTTCATCGTCCTGTTCTGGAATTTCTTTCAGTCTAGAAGACACAGGCTGTTATGGTCTCTAGGTCTTATTGTCTCCTTATGCTATTTGAGATGGCCAGCAGGGATGGCAATTAGCTGTGACTGTCACCTGGACAACTCTCCAACAGGAGCTACCATATCATGCATTGACTACTGAGCAGCTCCTAGATGATGAACAGTCACTGCTGATTTATATTGGATGCAAACAAGTCCTCTCTGAATGAAGGCCTACAGCTGCTGTTACTGGCCCTATATCATTCAGATTGCTTTCTCTGTTTTTTACAAATGAAAAAGATTTTTTTTTTTTAATCTGTCCAAACTGATCTCTAATGTTACTGTGTTTTCTGCAAGAATTATTGTTCTTGTATTTTTCCCAAACTCCACAGACAGAATGCATGTGACATATAGAGCAACTGTCACTATTCAAACTTTTTTTCAGTCTAGTTTGTGTATAGAAAAATTAATGCTTTGATGACATTAAATAAGAAAAGCTAGGCATTAAAATTTTGCCTTTTTATATAACATCACAGCAGTGCCTTTTTAAGATTCATTTTTTGAATTAAAATCAGTGCTTTGAACTTAATGGCCTCTACAACATACTACCTGTCAATGTAAGTACCAAACTGACATTGAGATTGTCTCACAATCTCAGCAGTTATGCTGTAGTCTGTCCAGATCATGTATTACATAGAAGTCATTGGAATCATC